AGCAAAGGCCAGCTTAGGAGTACCCTAATTAAGTTAATAACAATGTACCTGCCTATATAGTTTAAGTTTAAAAAAATGTGGCTCTAAAAAGAAATTTCAATTGTTGTACTGTTGATATTTGGCTCTGTTGACTAATGAGTTTGCCGGCCACTGCTCTAGTGTTTACTGAAAATTCTTTGCTCCCATGCGCTGCAGTTCTGCCGGGTGATCGCACCTGCTGCCGGCGCTGACCCCACTCTCACCCCGCTGCCGGTGCCCAGCGCTGATCACTCAGTACTGTCAGTGGGTGTGAGCAGTGACTGCCAGTCCCGATTGCCCCTGAGGGCTTCTTCACCTCCCCCTGCTCCTGAGGGGTGATGGGGCAGCAGCCGCCACTCGCTCGCACCTGCTGACGGCACCGGCCCCAATTGCTCTGCGCTGTTAGCATGTAGGAGCAGCAGCAGCGGGAGCGGGGCTGCCAGCAGACAGGGGACTGGGGCCATGGAGGGAGGGGCCGTGGAGGGAGAGGCCACAGAGGTTGGGCCGAGACCCGCCCCTGTGCCCACAGCAGCCTCACGGCCCACAGTTCCTTTCAAGGTGCATGAATTCATGCACTGGGCCCCTAGTATATGATAAAACTTACCATTTTAACCACGTGTAAGTGCACAGTTCAATGGTGTAAATACACCAATAATGTACTACCACCACCACCACCATTTCCAGAACCTTTTCATCCTGTAAAACTGAAACTCTGTCCCCATTAAACCCTCACTCTCCTTCCCTAGACACTGGCACCCACCCTTCTACTCTCTGATTTTGACAACTCTAAGCACCTCATAAATTGGAATCATGCAGCAATTGTCTTTTTTGTGACTTATTCCATTTAGCAAAATGTCAAGATCAATCCATATGCATGTGTCACAATTTTCTTCCTTTTTTATGCTGAATAATATTCAATTTTATGTACTTATCACATTTTGTTTATCCATTCATCTGTTGATGGGCACTTGGTTGGCTTCCATGTTTTAGCTACTGTGAATAATGCTGCTGTGAATATGGGTGTGCAAATATCTGTTCATGTCCTTGCTTTCAATTCTTTTAGGTGTATACCCAGGTGCAGAATAGCCAGATCATATGGTAATTGTTTTTTTAGGAACCTCCATGCTGTTTTACATCTGCACCATTTTATTCCCACCAACAATGCACCAGGGTTCTGATTTCTCCACATCCTCACCAACAATTCCTGTGGTATTTTTTTAAAAAAAATATTTTTATTGATTTCAGGGAGGAAGGAAGAGGGAGATAGAAACATCAATGATGAAGAGAATCATTGATCAGCCTGCAATCCAGGCATATGCCCGGGTTGAATCGAACTGTGACCTCCTGGTTCATAGGTCAACACTCAACTACTGAGCCATGTCAGCCAGCCTACTCCGTTCTTTTATTTTGTTAATCATACTAGAAGATATATGTTCCACTGATTTTCAGAGATTGTGGGAGGAAAAGAGGGAGGGACAGAGGGAGGGAGGGTAGAGAGAGAAATATCAATGTGAGAGAGATGCATCAATTGAGTGCCTCCTGCATGCACCCTAACCAGGCCAGGATTGAACCTACAACTGAGGTACATGCCTTTGACCAGGAATCGAACCTATGACCTCTGTACTGGGTCGATGCTCTGACCACTGAGCAACACCAACCAGGGCTTTTTTCTTTTTTTTTTTAAATAGTATCCATTCTAACAAGTGTGAGGTGGTATCTCATAGCTGTGACTTGCATTTCCCTGATGATTAGTGATATTGAGCATCTTTAAGTGTACTCATTGGTCAATTTATCTCTTGTGAAATGTTTATTCAAGCCCTTTGCCCATTTTTGAATCAAGTTGCTTTTTTTTGGTTTAGTTTTAGGACTTCTCTATATATTCTGCATACTAATCCCTTAATAGATGTGTGATTTTCAAATATTTTATCTCATTCTGTGGGTTGCCATTTTACTCTGTTGATAGTTTTGAAGCACAAATTTAAAAAATTTCAAGTCCGACTGTCCTTTTTGTTGTTGCTGCTTGGGCCTTTGGTGACCTACCTAAGAAGTCATTGCCAAGTCCAGTGACATGAAGTTTGGGCCCTAGTTTTCTTGTAAGAGATTAAGGTCTTACATTTAGTTCACTTTGTATATGGTGTGAGGTAAGGGTCAGTTCCCCCCTTCATGTGGATGTCCAGTTTTCCCAACACCATGTGTTGACACCCTGGTCAAAAATTACTTGACCGTATATGTGAGGGCTTTCTGGGCTCTCTATTCGGCTGAATACTCAAGGGAGACCTTCTGCCGACCTCCCTCTGCCACTCTGGTACTCAAGCTGCCTGTCTCCTGCCTTCCAGCTACAGAGAAAAATCCCTCCATCACTAGGCCCAGCTGGGCTCACCCACACACAGACATAGACAGGCAGGCCAGCTGTGCAGATCCCCAACCTCACACATAAATCACGTGTACGCACATTATGTCTGCGCACATGCCCAGGTGCATAGCACCCACCTCTCAGGGCCTACATGAGACCTTAGAAGACCCCGGGCTCAGTGACCTCACTCCTGTTGCCCCGCTTTGGGAGCCCAGTGGAAGCAACAGCAGACACACTGCCCTCACAAACACTGGTTTCCGGGTGTGAGGGGACTTGCAGCCCCACATGCGAAATCCCCCCAGAGCCGTAAAGGTGGCAGTCACTGAAACAGGGCGCGGTGAGGCCCGCTGACAAGGATCCTTTACACATTATCCCACAGGCACAAGCAGCCCATGGTGAGAGCCCCGAGGGGGCGGGTGTGGGGGGCGTGATGTGGGGGCTGACCTGGCATATGAGGGCTATTTCCCGGCTCACACTATTGCATCCCCCGTGTGCGTGCGTGCGTGCGTGCGTGCGTGTGTGTGTGTGTGTGGGCGGGGGAGCCAGGATGTACATGGTCTCAAGCCGTCCTGAAGGGGTCTTCTGTTTCACCCGAGCCCGTTTAGCCGGCTGCCCTGCACACGTGTCACAGGGGCTCTAGTTGTGCAGTCTGGGGTTCTCCTATTTTATTGATGGGTTTTGGCACCAGGACTCTGGAGGGCCGGAGGGGGGCGGTGGGAGCGGGGCGGCGGTCCTGGGAGCGGTCGGAGGGTGCAGCGCAAGGGCTGTGGGCTTGACCTGGTTCTGACACCAGGAGTGGCCCAGCGCCTGCCG